TCAGACCTCAGTGAGGCAAAAGAACAACTGGAGCCTGTTCCTGATTTGCACATGCGCAGAGTTGCCAGACGAAGGGAACAGCTAAGGAACCAGGGTCAACTTGGGAGTAAGGCCACAGGTGGGCGGTGAATGGCCCCTCCCAGGGGAAATAAAAAAGGAGCGAAAGGGGAGGGGAGTTTGCAGGAGACCATTAGTTCATGCCTGCATTCTTGCCAAGTATTGCGGCGTCTGAAAGATATCGGCCTGGCCACTCTCCAAGCCCGATAAAGGTCGGTAATGGTGAACTCTATCTTGAAAGACTGCAGGAGAGGAAAGACTTTGCTGGAGAGGAATTCGCTGTCAATTCAATAAAAGGGGTTTATCAGGACGAGGACTCGGCTTCGTGCTGCTGGGGAAGCCTAGGTCAGAACACCATGTTGCATTATTCAGGTAAATAAGTCTCCAAGTGGTTTCAGTGATTCCCAGAGAGAGCGCTAATGACCAGAGGACTGCAAGGAATAGGTCAGAACACTGGCTTAATTTTCTCCTGAACCCAAAATAGAGAAGGTCCGAGGTCTCTCCATTCCTGCCTGTTGGGTACCACATGCACTCCAAGAACAGAACGGGGTTGCCTAGCAACCAAGATGCTCCGGCTTCATCCTGTCCACCACCCCGCAACTCCTTTAGCAACTGATCCCTTCCTGTCAAGTCATCCCCGAAGGCCTTCCTGTTTGATTTAATCCACTTCCTCCTCTTTCCTGCCTTAACATTGGTTGTGTTGTATCTTTGCTACCACCGGTGACTTAAAGAGAGAAAACACTGCATACATTTGTGGAGAGGAGGAGGAGGCAGTCTTACACAGAAAAAAAAACCAATAACATGCCTCTCTCTTGGAATGATTGCACACAGACGCATACACACACACACACACTAAACAGATGAATCTGTTTAGAAAACGCACACCAGATGAGTACAAATTGTGTGCCTTGGGGGCGGGGGGGGAAAGCTGGCTGCAGAAAGACGGGGCCGTTCTTACTTCAAAAATAATTGCATAATGAAGAGGAAAGACGACAATGCAAAGTCATAGCTGTGTTTGTGTGGCTGATGTCTGCAGGGAAGAAACATCCCTTAGTCTTGTTTGCACTCTGGGAAGCAGGCAACTATAACGCAACTGGTTAGAGCAACAGGGATGAAGGGAAGAGCCAGAGAGAGAGAGGCCAGGATAGAAATCATGGTTAAAGGAGTTGGACAAGGACGTGGGCGTCAAATTCAAGTCACTGACTTGAATGATGAGATCTGGAATGAGGAGACCACCAACAGTAACTTTCCTGGCTGTTGATTGTGGAGGAAAAATGAGAACGTTGCATGCTTGGATTGAGCTCCTGGAGGAAAAGCGGACTTAAAATAATAATTCATTAAAAACATAAACCATACTCTTCCCCGTCACAAGCCATGAAGCAGTCCTTTGGAGGTGAAGGTGACAGCAGCACTATGAGGTGGAGGGCACACAGAGTTCTCTAGCCCAGAGGTCCCCGACTTTTCGGACCTCAGGGACCGCTAAATTCATAATTTTAAATCCCGTGGACCACTAATAGGATCTGCCTAAGGACCGGCTGGGCGGGCGTGGCTAGGTGGTCATGTGACTGGGTGGGCATGGCCAACTCGATGTCACTCACGTCGAGGGGGTGTCTTGCTGGCCTCTAGTCGCCCCTCCCCTCCTAGCCACTCCTCACCCATCCGGGCTCCTTAGGGCCCCAATTGGAAGCAGTTGCTGGAGCTAAGCAGCCACCTGGAGAAAGAGTTGGCAGAACAGCTCAGTTCAAATGGGATCCGAGCGAGAAGGAGTCTCAGCAGAAGCACCTCACTGAGGACTAGGAGCATGGGCTTTCCAAGCAGAGGGAAGGCCTGGGGGGGGGGGCAAGGCCAGATAACGGCGCCAATTCGTCCGAAACTTACTTGGTGACTTTGAAAATCCTCAACAGTCGGAGAGCTCTGAGGACACTGATGCCAAAAGAGGTGCCAGGTTTCACCACTGCCCAGATGACTTCAAAGATGCTTCCCACAATCACCTGCATGAAAGCAAAGGATGATGGGTGCTA